AACAGTGGCCTCAGCAGGGGCCAACCCCAGAGGTGAAACAGCTGCCGTTGCAGGGTTATTCATTTGGGGATTGACTAGGTTGTTATGGCTAGTGTGTGATTGTAACACTTCTGTGGACCTTGATGTGCTGAACAGAATCTTTTTTAAGAGTGGAGTAGGGTAAGAGTTGTCCTTGAAAATCTGGAACAGAATGTTGAAATTCTTGTTGTGAAAAGTTGTGTCTGAGATTCTTTGAACTCTATTCTTCATTTGTTTGACCAAATTAATTTTCATTGATTGTTTATGGTAAGACAGCTAGTTAATGAATCTTCCTGAGCTACAAGGTTTACGGTACCAATCAATTGAGACGGAGTTGTTTGAGTTCCTGATGAATTTCGTATCCAGGAACGGGACAGAATTACCCTCATCCTCATTCTCCATTGTGAATTGTATATGTTGATCAAAACTGTTCATGGCGACCATTATCTCTGTGACCTTATCTCTAGGAAGTGCTAGGATTATGTCATCAACATATTTTTTAATGAAATGTAAGTTAAAAGAGAGAGTGGGAATGACAGTGTCCAGCAGGTCGTCCATGACATAATTCGCTAAAATTGGAGAAATTGAAGCACCCATAGGAGTACCAAAAGTTTGTTTATAGAATCTGCCATCAAATGCAAAATATGTACTGTTGAAAAGGAAAGTGATCAACTCCAGGAAAGACTCCCTGCTGATGCCAGTGTGTAGTTCGATTCTGTGCCAATTTTTGTTAATCGATCTGAGGCAAGCTTGTAGATAGACATTGCTAAAAAGAGACACCACATCCAAACTGGCCAGAACATAATCATCCGGCAAGACGGTGTTGTTAAACAATCGTGAGACTTCGAAGGAATCAGAGACATAATATTGATTGTTTATATCATAGGCTTTTGTCAGTATATCAGTGACCAAAGAAGCCACATACTGTGTAGGTGCACCAATTGAGGCCACAATTGGTCTGACAGATAGTGTTGGTTTGTGAATTTTAGGTAACGCGTAGAACTTTGGAGCAACACCCTTATAGTTAGTAAGCTTTTTCTTGGTCGCTTCATCAATTTGGTTGGTGGTTTTTAACTTTTTAACAATATCATTGCACTTTCTCTGAATGGACCACGTAGGGTCTCTTGCAATTTCCTCATAAGAATTACTATCTTGAATTAGTTCATTAGAAAGTTGGAGGTAATGGTCTTTGTACATAATAACCGATACGTTACCTTTATCAGAGTTAGTCAGCACAATGTTAGGATTGTCTTTAAGGAACCTTTTAGACTTTTTGTATAAATTGTAGAGAACCGAACCACTGTGAGAGCTTTTGTGAACATGATTGGTGATAATGTTAGTGGCTTGTGCTGTTAAGATGTTCCTGTCTGAAGGACTGTTAGATTGTGAAATAATATGATCAACATCAGCCAAAATATTTTTGATAGGGACATCTCTGCCAACCTGTGGCTCAAGACAGAATTTAGGCCCCAGAGAGAGAAACCTTAAAATGTCCTCAGGAATACTTACATCAGTGAGATTTCGTATCCAGTTAGGTTTAGTATCAAGTTTATTATAAAGAGAATCATTTTTTAATTTTTTTTTTTTTTTATATATATATATATATATAGTACAACGGTCGAAATTTGATAGGTCGAAACGCGTCTATGGATGAAAAAGCATGGAAAATCAAACCAAATATTTTCTTATATATATATATATATATATATATATATATATATATATATATATATATTTTTTTTCAATTTTGACAGCCCATATAAGGATATAACACTTGCCGCGCGCTGCTGCTTTTCGGCAAGGCGTTGCGCCCACTGCGACACGCTTCGGGTTATTACACCGCACGCCCCTGGCGACACCGCCGTCTTTTGGCGAGACCATAAACATTTCCAATGTAAAAAAAATTGATTCAATTTTATTTATGTGCAAACTTTGTCAGGGACTCTCAGACACATCTTAATGGCTATGTTTGGCTATTTTTCCAGGCAGTTAGTAAGTATAGTACAGTTGTCAAGGTATTAATCTCTCTAGATACCTGCTACCAATATTGTACCGATGAATTTGGGATATGGGCATCTACAGATGAAGAATATATAAATAATCACGTATTTTTATAACATTTTGTATAATGAAACACCTACAATTCTTGAGGCTATATGAGTGATAAATGCTACATATATCAGCATTGAGAAAAGTGGCAACTTTCAAGTACCTACTTCAGCGATCATTTTCTATCCACAAACAATATAATCTTCTGAAACCGACAATATTATGTGCCTCTGATGAATATTTCAACAATGCAAGGTCCATACTTTTAAGACAGTCGTAACAACGATGCAGCTACTATTTTACACGAATTCAATCAAGATGTGGCTGAAATACAAGACTGGTTTGAAGAAGGTGACATTTTTGTATTAGACCGAGGTTACAGAGGGATGCCAAAGAATTTTTAAGAGAACTTCGAAAAAGATAGACTCCTAAATATACAATTTTTTTCAAGAATTGGAATAAACATCCGTCATCGCAACACCAGCTGGCCATAACATATGATCAAGATCCGAATATTCACAAGTATCTGGATATTATTGCATGTGTCGTTCTGGGGCCAGAACGGTTGGTACTTGTTGTCATATGGCTATTGAACTATGGTTTTTAGGATATGCCAGACACCAACAACACCTAGGACGTAGACCCCAATTACCTGTTAAAGAAGCAAATAAGTCCAGATTGGTGACATCTAGATTTGTTATAGAAACGCGTAATGGTTACTTGAAAAATAAAACGCCTAAATATCAAAAATTTTTCGAGAATTAGAATAAACTTCCATCATCGCAACACTACCAAGAACCAGCTGGCCATAAATATGATCAAGATCCAAATATTCAGATATCTGGATATTATTGCACGTGTCATTCTGGGGCCAGAACGGTTGGTACCTGTTGCCACGTGGCTAGTGTAATATGGTTTTTCGGATATGCCAGACACCAACAACACATTAGTTATCTACAAGATAATATTTTGAATGCAATAAATGATGCTGCTGAGAGGAACATTCTGCCCCAAATAATTTAATTACTAAATTAAAAATGGGTCTGAGTAAGACAAACACTGTATATTATTTTTTTAAACATGCTTTCAGGGTAAGTTAAAATTATGAAGGTTTATGGTTGTGTTTCACATTATTTATTGATATCGAGATTTTATTAAAATATACAATTACTTTAACACTCTGTATTAAAATATTTGAGTTTAGATATATTGCTTACTCACATACATACCTACAAAAGGATCCCAAAAACGTCAAAATCGGATTTGTAATTTTCGAAATATTCAAGAAAATCTACGTATGGATATTTCCTCGAATATTTCTTATGCATAGCATAGCAAGACCTACGTACTTTGACAAGCATATCTGCTATCACAGACATACGATCCTCTTTACATTTCAAATTTTTTTTTGCAATGATGATACCTCTAAAATATTGAAATTTGGTTGAAATTTACGGGGGCCTATTTTCAATGTTAATCGTGCCTCCTACATAATTTTCTTTAACTTCATGAATAGGTGTATTCCACTAAAAGCGCATGGTTTAGAAGTTATAAGCAAAAAACTGAAAATGTTCGAAAATTTCGACTTCCGCCCAAGTAAGCTCAGGGTCCTCGAGGTCGACAACTTAGATTCTACTCCACAGACTATCCACAAACGACATGCCAAAATATAATTAACTTCGGAACACACTCCAGCTACACCCTTTATTAAATGCTTGCCTGCTGGCCTAATATAAAAGTGGCAAGAGTAGTTTACCGATGATCCAAATTTTCAAAGAGCTCAAAGTTTGAGCCTCGCTATGTCACGTTTTATAACTCTCAGATGCTTGGGAAAGATACGTTAGCCGCTGTTAATCGACGTTGACATATCAAACTCGTTTGAATAGCGCTTGTCAACTTTTGAAAGGAAGTTGCAGAGCCATTATCAAGGACTTGCTCTTTTCTTCCAGCCCTTGAACAAAGACATTACAGGAAAGCAAACTCTCCTTATACCCCGGAAGTTTTCGGACAAGGTGACTGCAGATGCTGTTCTAAGATACATCGATCAAGATCTTACGATCCCGAAGCAAGTATTGATGATTTTCAAACACTCGTCCATTCTGTGCTGCGACGGGGCATTGCATAAGCTCTGAGCAAGTTCTCCAGGCAAATAAAGCTCTCGCAAATGACCGTTGCCGTCATCCCCCCGAATTTCATAGTATCTGCAACTTATATATATTATATATAATATAACAATATCAATCCCTGGACCGGTCAACGTCGATGTTGATATTTGGAATTTGATATTAGCAAGAACGCCATCTTTCGGAAAGCGATGTAAATCTGTTGGTCCCGTGCATCGCAGTCATGTGATGCAAGAAAAAATCCCTACCATCGACAAAGATGGGTTCGGCGAAAGTTTTATATGGAGCGTGACATATTTCCTGGCGTCAGTATTTGGCCTTGGTCGCGAAAATAGGCCGACGAAAAATAAATAAATGCAAAAAAAAAAATAATAATAATAATAATAATAAGAAAAAAATCCTTTCCTATCTTTCTTGCTTACTTCTCAGCGAAAGAGTTTTTGCGGCTATTTTGGGCACCATCTCAAACCCCTTGCACTTTAAACTTAAGGTAAGAAAGCATTGCAATGAACATCATTTGAAAAAAATCCTAGGCATATGTTTGAATCATTATTTGAAGCCAACGGAGAAGGGAGATATGGGGCAACATAGTTTTGGCCACTATCTTGGATACCAGACTTCTTGTCCAATTTTCGCTTTGGCAGCAGAGAGATTCGTACTCAGCGTGGTCAAAATACCCCAAAAGCATTTTTTCTTTTTCCCAATTGTTCTCTACATGAAATGCTTCTTGCATTGTTCTTTCTCGAAAACGTGCATAATCCATTTCGCTTGGCATGGAATAATAAGTAAATTATTATTGAGTCAACTTACATGAATTCGCGGCCCTTAACCAATCTTTTTCTTGAAGTATTATATTTTGTGTTGCAACTTCGTAGCCCTCAAGTTTGTCAGTTAGTACGTCCCAGTTAATTCCATCCAGGTTTTCGTCCTTATGCGAAATAGAATCTAAAATAGTGGTATCAGTATTAGGTAAGTGTCTTTATCTGTATTTCAAAATGAAGTGGTCTACCTATATTTATTGGAATACCGGAAACTCCAAGACAATACAACCAATAAACCCAAAACGACCAAAAAACATACCGAACACCCATCAATTCTTATAAATTAAACTATAATCGAAAATTAAAGCTGCTTATCGGACAAAGATTGCATTCAATTTACTGCCACGAGCCGCGAAAATTTTCTAATCTTCACCTAGTAAAAATGAGGACATATTTTTGAGTGCATCGAAATCCTGGTACATGGCCAATAATTATCTAGTCTATAAAAATAACCCCAGACTGGCTAATGAGCTGCAATATTAATTATATTTAGTGGCGACCAAGTTATTTTCAAAAATTATTTCTGGTTTGCAACATTGGATTTTTTTCAGCCAAAAATAATAAAAACCTAATCGAAAAGCCTCAATGTTCCCGCTCGATTAAAACTTAATTTGCCTATTTTTAGATCAAACAAGTTTTCAAAACGCAATGTTTTAGATGGAACAGCCGAGCTTGTGAATGTATTTATTGGAGCTTGAATAAGTTAATTCTGAAATAGATTAAAGTTATCTTTTGATGGATGATAGATTTGTTATTTTGAACTTCGGAAATGGTAAGATGTTGCAACTAACCCAGGTCTACGGGTTTCTCAAAACTCCATAAAATGCAGTGAACTCCTCATTCCTGAAGAAATGTGGTTGTTTGGAAAAGGGTGTTATGACTATTCATTCTTAGCGTACCTCGGACGATTATTTTTGTTCAATGAAGTGTTCTGGAGCTTGTGGATATGCCAAGCTGGCCATTCAATAAATTCCTGCTGCATCTCCGACGGACCTTGTAACCCCTATTGTTATTGAATTAACAAGATTCCCATAATATGCTCAGTTTGCTCAGCGAATAATTATTAAGTGTGGGTCAATAGTTTAATAAGTACAGAACGGCAAGGGCGCCACTGAATTTGTAAGAAAATAAATAATTAGATTACCTACATAAAATATTGAAGAGTAGAAATTCAGAAACACATCTAAAAAAATAATCAGCAAACGGTAACAGATAATTCTGAAAAGGAAATAAATAAAGCACACAACTCAACCAAATTTTGACATAGGTAAAACCTATAGAACACTCGAGCAATTTTCAGATCAAAATAGTATATATTTCACAGTGATGTTGAAAATCAAGTATTTGTTGGTAAAATACTTTAAATAAAATCAATACCTAAATAGAGGTTAACTCTCAATCAGTTTCATCAAATTAAAAAAAAAAAAAAAAACAATTATTTACCTCAATATACTTGCCATATATAAGTTCATTAACAGTCGTTGGCCATATCATTAATTTGAAATAAAAATATGAAGTATTTAAGTTTCCAGAAAATTGACAAAAAAATTAATGATTGAAAATTACAATATTATTATATGGATAAATATGGTCAGCTGCTGCCAGAAAAATAAAATCACTGAAATCAAATTAAAACTGTTTAAAATAAAACGGTAAACTTTAAAGGTATAAACTATAAAGGAGATATATACTGAAAATCCAGAATAGTTAATTATGATATAAGTGCTAAAAGTGATATTTTATTTTGTGAAAAGGGAAGTTTGGGACACGACGCCGAAGGCGGAGTGTTCCATCCCTAAGAACAAAATAAAATCACTTTTAGCACGAATATCATACACTATTTTATCTACAAACGCACTAAAAGTGATTACTTTTAGCACTAGTGCTAAAAGTAATCACTTTTAACACCAGTGTCATAAAATGGCATTTTAGACACTGACAACGTCCGTTAAAAATGACACTTTTAGTGACGTTTGTAGAAAATAGTTATTTATGATATAAGTGCTAAAAGAGACATTTTATTTTGTGAAAAGGGAAGTTTGGGACACGACGCCGAAGGTGGAGTGTTCCATCCTTTTGAACAAAATAAAATCACTTTTAGTACGAATATCATACACTATTTTTTCTACAAACGCACTAAAAGTGATTACTTTTAGCACTAGTGCTAAAAGTAATCACTTTTAGCACCAGTGTCATAAAATGGCATTTTAGACACTGACAGCATCTGTTAAAAATGACACTTTTAGTGACGTTTGTAGAAAAAATCAATTATTTCACCATAAATATTTAAATGTAATGTCAGTAAAAATTTCATCAATTATGTTAATTGATCATGAAATAGATAATAAAGAAAGAAAAAAAATATATTAAAAGGTATTAATGAAACTTTAGCATTAATTCCGACAAAAAGGTAGAGTACGGCTGCCATCCATTTTTTGTCACTTGACGAGGGAAGTTGCAAATGGAAGTTGCAGATCCTAGCTTAGAATCAAGGCAAGAAGTTGTAAGCTGGTTCAGTTTTCTTCGTCAAATGTGGGGGTACACGTATCGACACGTGAGGGACTTGATTCCTCCAGGAAATTACTTCAAGAGCTCTATGTCCAGAGATATGGGCTTTTTGGAAATGGATTCCTTGAGAAAAACGGCTCCTCCGAAAACCCTAAGTAATAGAGGCATTCCATGAACAACCATTACTTTAAAAATTAAAAGGGACTTACCACGAGGGAGTTCGAAAATCAAACTCAAATAAAACGGTAATCACAAGACTTTCGATTTAAATTTTTGCAGTATTCAAGGGATTATTGCCTCACGCAACTTTATTTCGTTAAAATAGTGCCTGATGGCCGATAAGGTACTTTTTTTCCACGAGCTCAGGAAGATGGCGGTTTCAGCACAGGATCGACCTTTTCAGGGACGAAGAATCAAAAGGAAAAGCTGAACAAGCAGACCTTCACCTCAAAAAATTGCTAACGGAAAATATTGGTACTAAACCTTGAATTTTAAACTTAACCAAAAATCATGCCCTCTAGTTTAATAATTGCAAATATTATTAGCGGCAGAAACCTGTTTTTTTCAATGCTAGTCACCAGACTGTCAACATTAAAGGTAATAATTTAACTTTATATTATAATTATATTTAAAAGAAAAAAGAACAAATACTAACAGTAGCATTTCACATGCTGCAACCTTGTACTCTGATCTTCAGATGACGCTGATACACTTTATTAAGAGTCTGTCCCAAAATTAATTTATTATTCAAGACAAAAATTCATGAAAATTACGACAAAACCATAACTATTCATTTCGTTCAACTACAATCAAGCTTAACTTGTCACAACAGAAAATCACAACTCAATATCTTAGTAACTTTCTACTTGTTTTTTGATTGTCAACCTAGTCGCATTCAATTCACCCCTGACTGATTCTTGACACAGTGTAACTTTTTCCACGGTAGCCAACTCCGTTTTATAGTGCGCCGTTGCTTATAGAATTGTCTACACAATTCGCTTCCATTTGTTTCGAATTCGCTGGTCTATAGCGAGGTAAATTTCCATTCGCGAATTTTCTAGTCATCGGGCAGTGTTGCAAGGTTGTGCACGAGTTTCCTAACTTGAGAGTTTTATAACAATATGTACTCGTCTCCTGAGCAAATTAACAAAGAAAGTTTATTTTCTTGTTAAGGCCGCAATAGCCCCCCTTCAAATTAGATTTCAGTTCTAAAAAAAAATATATAGATGGCGGCGCCAAGATTCAGTATTTGAAATATTATAGCGATTTCAATTTGCAGAATCAGTGCAACTTTTCTCACTCAGTTCGCACTAATTGCCGAATGGAAATTGCCATTATTATTTTGCCTGGCCAACCACAATGCTCAAAGTTGACCTTAACATACTTATTTTTTCCTATTTTATTTTATTAGGAAAGAATTGGGACTTAGATATAGCTTTATAGAACAGGTTTTTGTTTATGAAGAAATTGCCTTGTTTTGATTTCGGAATCTTTTTACTATAATAAATACCTAATTTTTTGACTATTTTGGAAGGAATAATGAGAAACAAAATACAGTCTATGCTTACGATTTTTCAGGATATTCCTGAGAAAAAAAATTCAATTCTGTGATCGTTTTGTCAAATTTTCATTATTTTTTTTTTTTTTGATGGGTTTTTGCAACGCTTCTGGATGACCGAAGCCCAAATCTAATTCAAGAATGATCACGCCACATGACCGACAATAAATATTTGAAACCAAACGAATAAACATGAAATCAAAAATTCATCGGCATTTATTTATCATCGTTTTTCGCTCTCAATTGCGTATTACGACCTATGTCTCTTTGTTTATTTTTTAGTATCAGACAAAGAAAACCTTTCACTCGTTTGATTGGACCGTGAGTTAGAACTTAGAACTTTGGCGATATAAACATAGATAATAAAATATAATTCGAAATTTATTTTGAATTGGTTTGCGGGGTAATTTTTTTTGCACAGGATAGAAAAATTATTTCAAAAATTTGTTTTCTTTACCCTACACTAATAAATTTATTCAACTCTACTTTTGATTACTTATAGGTATGCAAAAAGGTTCATTATTATATTACATATGGTCTCGCAAGAACATTTCTATGTAAGTAGCCGGAATGCAGGTGGAAGCTCTAGAGCCAGTGTGTTCAAAGAGGTAAATCACAACTTAGATTTCAGGACGTATCGAATTTGTGACTGTTGTTCTGCAATGAAATTATATTGTTTTTTTGGTTGTCCCAATAAGCAGCGTTTGTAGGTGCAAGAGGCAGGCAAGCTGATCGTAGAGAAAACATACATACATACATAACTAGAAGAAAGAAGCTAATTTTCAAGATCAGGAAAACCCAAACACGCTCTTGTCTAACATGAAATTACCAGTATCCCAAGACCAAGAGTCTGAACTGTGTTATTATGTGTCAAAATTTATTCATGAAAAAAATATATACAGTGAGTTCATAAAGTCCCGCATAAATTCATTATTCATTAGACACGTCAATTTTGTTTTTTTTGTTTGAAATTTTTCGATATAATTTTTATCATACAGGGTGTCTCAAAAATAGCTTCACTGGTATCACCTTTATTTTTTTTAAATGGTACCTCCTGTATATTATGACATTTCTGGATTCTGCGGAAAATTCTAGTCATAGGTATTTCATGCATAATGTCATATACCAATCTTCAACTGTTTCGGAAATATTGACAGTTGAAAAATCACTTTTTTGCATCTTTGACAGACTGTAAAACCTGAACGGTTGATTTTACAGCAAAACCGATCATACATTTTTGTCTTAGTTTTCCATGAACTATCATTTGACACCTTTTTTGAAGTTAATCCATGATTAAGAGTTCCGGTTAAATTTAATCTCCGATTAAATTCAAAGTTGGTGTCAAATGATAGCTTATGAACAGCTACAAACGAGAATGTGACATCGGTTTTACTTTAAAATTAACGGTTCAGGTTTTACAGCCTGTCAAAGTTGCAAAAAAGTGATTTTTCAGCTGTCAATATTTCCGAAACAGTTGAAGATAGGTATATGACATTATACATGAAATACGTGTAGAATGTTCCGCAGAATTCAGAAATGTCATAATATACAGGGGGTACCATTTAAAGAAATAAAGTTGATACCAGCGAAGCTATTTTTGAGTATGATAAAAAATATATCGAAAAATTTCAAACAAAATTGACGTGATTGAGCGATTTTTAAAAAATTCTACCGTTTTCAAAATAATGAATTTATGCGGGACTTTATAAACTCACTGTATACATAGTTATATTACAAGCAGGTTTCAAATGTTCCCTAGTGCTACAAACATGAACATGACACCCCTATTATGGATAAAATACTTTCAACTGCCATCATTGATCCCCTTGACATGTAAGCCAATAAACTAATACTAAGTATCTTTGTAGATTTATGATTCTAGCAACCTCCTCATGGAAGAAAATAATGTATCTTCTTCTGTCTATAATTTGAACAAGACCCATAAATGTATATGTCGCCTGATGAAAAGCTACATGAGTTCTCATTTATAAGCCAAGAGGAATATAATGAGTAAAATGAAATATTCATAAACACATTATAGAAATTGAAAGAACATTAAGAAGACACTCGACAAATATCCTAGGAAACAGAATTGTTGATTTATGGCCGTTTCTACCAACTATTTTAGGAAAGCCTTAACGAAAAGTATTCCCTAAACATTTCTCCATGGAAAACTATCATATTTTGGTTCCATAAATATCTAGCTTGCAAGTTAGTCGAAAATGTCGCAATTGTCTAGCAGTTTTAAAAAATTAAGTTGATGATGGTAGCCTAAAGATGATACGTCAGATTTTAAATTTGAAAATGTCATCTTGTAGAGTAGAAGAAGTTTTTATGATGAAGTGACATTTATTTTGAAATATCTCCTCAAATGAGCTCAGAAACAAATAAAATCGATTTTGCAAAATTTCGTTTTTTTCCGGATATCTCAGAAAGTATTCGGAATTTTCCAAATGTAAAAGTACCGTTTTATTGAGCGGGAAATTGCGCAACTTTTTCCTAATCTAACCAACATTGTAACTCCAACCGATCTCCAAATCCTAATGCTATCCCATCCTTATCTTGGACACACTGTATATCAACGCACATGGTGATGTCGATAATTTAAAAACTGATTTGGAAAATGGGCCTTATCATGTTTTTGGAAAACAACACCTCAAATTTAGTCCTTTATATTGTTAATGTAATGGATATTTTAGCAATAAAGTAGGAGAAATGGAGATTGCTGGCATTTTCAATCGGATAACCACCGTGTTTCAATGAATTGTGGTAAGCTAGGGCCACAAGCTGATTGATAATGAAACCAAACAATGGAACTCAGATGTTTATGTCCGTGAACGGTTTAGTGCCATCCAAAAAGGCTCCTTGCAGACAAGAGCCTATTTGTCTGGACTTCAGTACAATGAAGGTGCAGATTGGCAAAGCTCAACTTGGCTGGACTCGAGGCCAACGGTGCCAGGTACTGCCTTTCAATCGTTTGTGAGAAAATGCAAGAAGCGATATGAATATGACAATGCACGTAAAGCGTAGATTCCAGGAAATGCTAACAGGAAACCTGCTAAAAAGAAAGTTTCAAAAAAAGCAGTAGGATATGGGCCAAATGCCATACAGGCTTCTCTCACAGAGGAAGAGTTTCAGTCTGAGAGAAGTAAGCTTTTGAATAGAGAATAGACTGAAGGTATGTTTATCTCCAGGAGTACCTATAATTATTATTCTGAGTAATTTTTGTTTTTTAGGTACTGCCGAACGAAATCTCCATCGTGAAGCAGCAAATTATTGGCCAGTGGGAAAATAGGCTTCAATATACCTAAATGGAATGCTCTACTGCATTGATGGATATTATTATTGCACTAATATACAAAAACACAAAGGAAAAAACTCTAGTTTTAGCACTTTCCACCTTTTGTAAATAAATATTAATAATTATCATCCAAGCTTTTTATTTTTCCAAAGACATTTTGTCCTATAAAACACGATCCATTTTTTTTACGTATAGGTACCTACGTAAAATAGGTACTTTATTTATTTTGAATAGAAACTAATGGTTGTAAATTTCCTGTGTTTCTATTGTTTTATAAAACCAACAATAAAAAACAAAACAACATAAAATAAGAAAGAGGTTATGGTGTCAATAGGCCTTTTCGGAGACGCTGGACAAACAGCTGATAATCCGACGGATCCAGCTTTTCCGAAAACGCCTAATCATGACATCACGAATTGACTGGTGTCGCCATCTTCGAAAAAAAGCCTGAACTATATTCGCCTAATTATTACGAATTTTATTCCAAAATCGGTTTTAGACTACAAAAAAAAAAAAAACGGCACATCAGAATTTGCTGAAATTTGGCATAAACATTCTTTGATCGGTTATCTAGAGAATAGCGCTCTTATTTTTCTTTTTCTACCGTGGTTATTTCTATTTTTGGGAAATAGTTCATTTTCACAATATAGGCCAAAAAAAAAATCGAAATATGGAAAATCTAACTGCGCTATTCTCTAGATAATCGATCAAGGAATGTTCATGCCAAATTTCAGCAAATTCTGATGTGCCGATTTTTCTTGCAGTCTAAACCGATTTCTGTATTTTGTATCGTGTGCATCGGGCGATCAGCCGGCGATGTTGGAGCCTTAAATACCATTTTTTCTAAGAAAGGCTGGAGATGAAAACACAAACTAATAAATCGATAAGACATTTACTAAAATGATAAATAAATTTACAAAGAAATACTAAACATTATCTATCATTTAACTCTCAAATGATTACTCGATGGTCTAGAATTTCTTGACGTACTCTTCTGTCTATTCCTCATTCCATTTGCAGCTTCAGTTTGAAAATTCAACAAGGAAGCAGATTTACTGAAAATACTCTTAGCAATGCTCAATTTATCATGGTCCGGCTCCGATCTTGCTGAAGATGTCGATTCGGAAGGCATAGGCCTCGCTCGTTTTTGCTTGGTAAATATTTTACAGGCAAATTTCATTTCGCATTTTAGAGTTTCCATGAAAGGGATCTACACAATTATCAAGAAAAAAGTTTTTGTAAACTGTATACTTACATGTTCTTCAATTGATAGTTGACGTACATTCAATAAAAACTCTGCAATAGCTATAAGATAAGCTACACCAATTCCTACTGAGAGAACTATAAATATACCTCCAACGTTTGATAAAGCCAAAGCTTCCGAATCATCTTCAACGTTCTGTGAGAAAAAATGTAGGTACATTGAAATAAGTGTTTTGACAGAAACCTCATTTTTGGTAAATGCACTATTTCCACAAGTTTCAATTATTATACTAACCCTTTTGCATGGTTCTCCTTCCCGTTCCTTTTTCCACCATTTATCTTTAAGCTCCATTAATTTTCCACTTTCTTGCAGCTGTAGGACGGCCCTGTTTATTTCATTGCGATAATCTGCATCTACAATTTTTCCATTATTAAATTACTAGTTGCTATTTGTAAAAAATTACCCATTGGCATTCCAATTCCATAAGACTTTGAGTCCAATAGCCCACCAATTTTTCTTAGTTCGCATTTTCGTTCCATTTCAAATTCAAGTCCGGTGGACTCCATAATGTACGCATAAAGTCCATATTTTGTGCTTATAACTCTTTCTACTCCGGCAGTATTATCTTTTTCAAACACTGAAGGTTTCTCGTTTTTCATCGTGTTCCACATTTTTTGATAGAGAGAGTTGTTTGAAGTTGAAAAAAATGTTTCCGTTGAACCTTTTTCTAACAATCCTATGAAATAATATTTCAATTAGTAATTTTTAAAATTAAAAGAAATTCTCAAGATAGATACCAAATTTCACTCGAGATTGAGCAGCTAACTCTGCTACACTGTCAATGGTAACATCTCTTTTCTGAGCTGTTAAAAATGCAGCTAAATTAGCTGTGTAAGAGCTAATAATAATTAGGGAGAAGAACCACCAAGAACCTGCTATAACTCTTGCTGAAACCGATCTATAGTGAAATTAAAAAGGGAATTATTTTAGTTTAGTGAAAAATTCAAGTGAATTACTTGGGTAAAATATCGCATCCCTGAGCAGTAATCGACCCAATAATCAGCCAAAGAAAATTTTTTATAGTCCAAATATTTTCCAATTCTTTCGATTCCGGATCCCATGGCTTGGGATTTTCCCATTCAGCTGGAGCCAATCTACAAGAAATAATTGATATACAAATATCATTGAAATAATTTTTACCTGGCCACAATAAACATGGTAACTGAATTGGCTATACATAAAACCCAAATGTAAAACCAAACTTTCCAATTTATTGGCCTCATAAAGGCGTACAGGTTGTCGACTTCCTCTTGAGTATTTTCTTTATGTACGATTTGAATACCTAAAGTCAGAAAATGTAAATTTAGTATGACTTGAGTTTTATAGGTTTCGACAAGAAGTTCAAGTGCTCGGACCTATGCACGTTATCGAGATGGCTTTGGCAACAATTTTTAGTCAGTTTTTTGTAAATCTTTCGTCATAAAGGAAGCATATATTGGAATATGCTGGAGCTGAAATAATGTTTGAACCACTCTTGCATTCTGCACTACGCAGAGTTTACCATGATATCATTAAGCATACCATTATTTATAATGTTCCATCAGTAGGTTTCTCCTTCATCGGTCCTCTGCTGGCTATAGTCCCAGGATACCCTTCAAGGTAACGAAAGGGGAAAGAAGCAATAGAATTCCAGCAATAACAATACAGAGTTATAGCATTGTGGGCAGATGTCCTCGAAAGCAAATTGAAATTTGGAGAGGTTTAATGATAAGAGGCGATCTTTCATAACCAAATTATTAGGATCTATTTCGATATAATGGAAAACTATAAGCATAGCATTTATTAATTTTTGAGCAAAAAAGTTGCGTAAGATTCAAATACAGCATAAGACTAGACCTCTTACCCAAATTCATAAACGGCATGCTAAAATCAATAAGGGCTCTTCTTTGCGGAGTTATGGTAAAATCGCAAATTCCCAAATCAGCTTTCTAAAATAACAGTTTTAGATTTTCGTTTGCACAACTTATTATAATTTCTCACCCTTTCAACCAAATCCTCTACCAGATTAACGTACGAATTGTCTGCTGTAATTCTAAATTCAAAACTAATATTAATAATTTTCGCCACTTCCGTGATCAAGTCCATGGAGTAACCGTAATATCTTGCGTTTTTATACGCTTCAGGTTTAGTGTTTTCGTACAAATAGGGTGGACCAATCCTATAAAAAGAAAAACCACAAATGAAACTTTTCAATTTTCTATTTGTTTGTAATTTATACTGCTCTCGGGGAAATATTCTTATTGAATTAGGGTAAACTATAGATACCTGGAGGTAACAATAAAATTATAACTTTCCAGTCTCCTCTGCAATTCCGCCTGCCTTTCAGTCGCGTTTCTGGTCAAATAGACTTTATCTGGAATTTCCGAGTTCCATATTCCTATCGGCTTTTCCAGCATATCTGTTTCTATAACTTCTAAAAAGAATTTGTTGCGTTTTCCATCTAGAAACGAAATTGGACCTGTAAGAAGGTCATTAGGTCTAACCTACAACAATGTTTATGTTAGGAAACATTTTTTTTTGATGAAAGTCTTACTTTCTGCAAGTTTTCGATAATATTAAGATCATCTTCAAATGTATCTTCTAAAGTATTACATTGTAGTTCTCGCGGGTTGAATTCCTCCCCTTTGATTTTTAACGTGTTTATTGTTTCTGTAAGGAGAGTAATAGCATCAAACTTCAGAGCCTTGTCCACCTATGAAAACAACAATTATTCTCTCAAGGTGTATGGCTTTTAATTCGCACTTACCCTAATTTGCGTAGGCAATACATCTGGGAAATATTCATAAGCAATTTTTTTAAAATGCTCATCCATTGGATTGAATAATCTAATCGTTGTAATGTTTGCTTGAGTTTTTAATGGAGCAAAATCTAAAGTGTGTGCATCCTGAGATATAACAAAAATTATTGTTGGATTAAAAATTTATTATTATGAGAATGGAAAATTTGGGACATGGGGCATGAAACATTACGAGTAAGATTTTGGTTTGTACTTTCTAATTTGCACTTTGAGACTTTAAATAATTAAATTTGATAAGCTCTGTATAGAAAATATACTCGCAAGCACAATTTTTGTATATTTTCCTAAATAAAAGTTCGAGTTTTTTCTTAATTACATAACAAATAATTTGCCTTACTTTGGAACTTCAAAGGCTCTAAAGTTTTGACTGTCAAACTAAATTGTCCGTTAATGAGGCAGTAGAGGCGAAACTTTTTTTAACCAGCACTTACCAAAGAGGTTAAGAAAAAGCTCCTAGAAAAATCCGATAAGAGTCCAACTTCCGAAGCCTGACGAAAAATATCCATTATTCTATCCACGTGACAATCCAAGATAATTCGGTTAGAATGTTTCATGCTTTTAAGTATATGCCTGAAATTAAATCAAAAATTGAAATCCAATAGATCTAAAATAAGATATTTATAAAATATGGTGCACGTCTAAAAAACCGCCATTCAAAAACCATATTTACCGACATAAATCTACCTGTTGTCCCCATCAATGTCCAATTTTTCTATCATAACTTGACTTTTAATACTCTCTTCGTTATACTCCTGCAATTTCAAGACCTCTTGAAGCCTCAATAATCCATCGATGTCTTCGTAAAGCACAACAAACCCTGGCCAATCGAAGGATTGAATTATCTGAGCCAGACCCTAAGAAATAAATATTGTTCTCACACCAAACGCAAATTCGTCTAAGACTTACTTTAGAAAATAAATCCGGGTCCGGGAATAAATTTAAAGTGTTCGGATTCACCTGAAATGTCCTAGGACGCCATGTCGTTAGAATATATGGAACTTTCAATTGAGAACATATTGCTTCCATTATGGAAGATGCACTTTGTAATTCCGGTCCTATTATAGCTACAAGCCTGTCTTGACTGGAATCTTTGACATAAGAACATACTAAAATTGTTTTTGTTATTAATATTATAGTTAAAGATTGTAAAAGATTGTAAAAGATTTAAAACTAACATTGTTTTGCAGTTTGGAATATGTCATTATCTGGTACAATGTTGATGGGAGGGCCACCATCGAAGTTAGATATAAGTTTCAAATTTTCTTCTAGGTTTTCTGTTATGATGTTCCAGAAAGGGATTTCTTCTTGGTATTTATCAAAGAATAAACCTGATTTTTTGTAATTTGTGAATTATTGTTTCTAAATGAGTTATTATTAATTTCACGATACTTTTACATTACCTATTCTGATATTATCCTTAGCAAAGCACAAACAAATATTACAAAACATGAAAACCATAAATTGAAAAGTCATCACGATCACGAAACTACGCAATCAAACTATGTAATAAAGTGAAATCTAGTTAAAACGTCGTTACAAGCCATTTTACTATCAACCAAGAAGTTGGTAGGAGGCCAAAGAAAATGTTTTGGACGCCACAAGTTAAAAATAAATAGTGTGATTTAATTTGTCCGCGATAGAATTGGGCGCTTTGTAGCTTTTTTCTATTTTTGGTGACGTGCAAGGATTAATTTAGGCTCTAGTCATTAAGCTTGAGGTCGATTTGGAAACTTGGATGATGTTTCTATTGATGCAGCTGAAATAGTAAAATTTTCAAAAAAGGTTTTTTTCTGCGATTGACAAGAAATGACAACATTTTTGACCGGTTGACAGGTCGCAAAACTCGATATTCTGGTATTTCAATTATGTTTCAATAGTTGCTAAGGAATCAATGAATAACAATACGGGAAACACTTTTCCGGCCTAGGCCGGGAAAGTGATTCTCGTATTGCTGAATAATTGGTACTAAAAGCCAAACATTTAACAGGTATTCAACCGATCGCAGAAAAAATAGTATGTGTATTTCGGTGGAAAAGCACATACTCGGCCTTCGGTGTTTGCCGGCCTCGGCTACGCCTCGCCCGTCAACTTACACCGTCGGCCGAGAATGTGTCACTTTTCCACCTAAATACACAATATACTATTTTCTGCGATTGACAAGAAATGTCAGCATTTTTGACCGGTTGACAGGTCGCAAAACTCAATGTTCTGGTATTTTAATTATGTTTTAAATAGTTGCTGAGGAATCAATGAAAAACAATACGGGAATCACTTTTCCGGCATAGGACGGGAAAGTGATTCTCGTACTGCTGAATAATTGGAGCAAAAAGACAAACATTTAACAGATATTTAACCGATCGCCGAAAAAATAGTATGTGTATGTCGGTGGAAAAGCACATTCTCGGCCTTTGGTGTTTGCCGGCCTCGGCTACGCCTTGCCCGTCAACTTACACAGTCGGCCGAGAATGTGTCACTTTTCCACCTAACTGCACCATATACTATTATTTAGGTTGTTATGCTAAGGTTTTATTCACGTTCTATCATCAATTGTCATAATTTTTTAAAACGTTCTTTTTTTAGTTAGGCGTTTTTTTTTATCGTTTCAAATATATGGCTATCGTCGATGGGGTCATAGACTTAAATACTACGAATAGACGTCCAGTGGAAATAGCAGCACAAAAAATGCCTCAATAATTCATAAGATGGCGCCACTCGTATTAAAAATTCAAAGAAAACTGTGCTAGCACCCTTGTGTACGAGCAGCGTGTCATTGTTTCCAGGACAACCGCATTCCGCCTTTTTTCTGATGTTTCGGTGTTGTCAAATTTATACGGACAAAAAACTAGACAAGAATTCTCTTTGCTATTTGCGACTTTCGAAGAAATAAATTATTGCTTGGATTTCAAAGAACTAATTTTCAAAATCCATTTAAAAAAAAAATCCATTTCAGCTTTCACTAGAAATAGAAAACTTAACAATTTACAAAATAAGTGAAATTTATTTATATTAAAAAAAAATCTTAACATTAACAATTTATTAATTTGCGTATAATATTTAGTATAAGATGCAGTAATAAAAAAAATTGGTGTCCTAATGTATGGTTTGGCCTATTTAATGATTTTGGACTAGTTATTTTAGAAATATTGGCAACAGCGTAACGCGCGAATTTGAATTATGACAGAAATGCGCGCCATCTCGTATCTAGCATCTAAAATACCAAAGCCTGAATTGAATTTGGAGGCTCGCTTTCGATAGCGAGCCTCCAAATAGCGTCGCAGATTTTTACCATTTGACTGGACGTCTATTCGTAGTATTTAAGTCTATGATGGGGTCTAGAGGTTAGCATTTCTGCCTCTTGCCATGCAGGCCCGGGTGCAATCCCTGGGTCGGTCAACGTCAATGTTAATATTGGGAATTTGGTATCAGCAAGGAACGCGATCTCTCGGAAAGCGATAGAAAATTTGAAGTTCTTTCTAAAATCTGGCATAATTTTATAATTTTCTGCTCTTTCCGAAGTGTCTGTGGTTGATGCATATGAAATTCTGTTGAAAATAAGTTCCATTATAAAGTCTGCTCGTTGAATATCTTAGATCATCTTTTGCAGAGATCTTACACAGTTTGCGCTATGATCTTCTGTTATTTTCATGCTTTGAAGTCCTAAGTGATGCTATGGCGTGATGAAACCATTTTCTCATTCATATGCTCTATCATTTTCGAAGTCTTATCCGTCTTGTTTATCTTTTAAGGCAGCATTTTACAACGTCCTCATACTTGATTTGTAGAAATTTCAGCGATTATAGCATCAAAACTATCAGATTTATGTATCTCTCTAAAAGAGGGCGATACTCTAATGGACTGCTCCCTAGTGGATGGCACTCGGGATGGCAGAACCTTTCTATCGAGGAGTTGGAATATATAATAATACTAGCTGACCCGGCGAACTTCGTACCGCCTCTGAATTATTAAATACCTATTAAATGTTGTGTGAACGTATCTATTAGCTGAATTAAATTCAGTTTTTTTCGATGGTGAATTTGGCTTTGGTTGAAAAAAATTAATGTTTACTCTCTGGATCAGAAGTCACCTAAAATTAAAATTTTACATCATCCCTTTTTAGGCAGCTTGTGGGCATTATTCTTGTAAAGTGTACCATCAAATAAATAAACTCAGGCACAGGAATGTTCAAAGAATGTAAAGAAAACAAAAAAATCTCCAGCGCAGCCCTGTTTCACTCTATCTGCACTGCACTACTCCATCTGTTCTACTCTATCTGCACTATTCTATCTGATCTACTCTTTCCGCACCACTCTATCTGATCGGAATAGTGGAATAGTTCTGTTCAGAATAGATCCAGTTCCTGAGTAGCATTGTTCTACTGTATCTGCAATGAAATTACCGCGCAACGGCGAGCTTCATTCTAGGTATCAGAGATAGTGCCGTATACAAAATGGTCAAATTGGTTTGCAATGAAAATGTGGCGGTAAACTTGGTATCGGTTATAAGAGATGGCGCCGTATGCGGGCTTAGTGAATTTTTTTCATAAATAAGTAAAATGGGTAATTTTGTTTTTTGTCTTTTTTTTGGATTTTTTCGATTTATTATGTTAGTATGGACAAAGGCAAATCCAATAAAGCAAAAATCATAAAAATCAGTCCAGCTGTTCTCGAGTTATAAGTGCTAGAACCAACACAACTATGTTTTATATATATAGATAATAATGATAACAAAATGATCCTCCATTTATTTTGAATAATTCATTTATTACAAAAAATGTGATAAATGAAGAACCGCTCTACAAATTTGGTGCAAACTTCATATAAACCATCTAATAAATAGTCCGAACAAAGCCTAAACATTTGGTTTGGCTAGGCGAGCCCGTTCTTGAGTTATAAAATTACAACGAAAAGTGGCATTAATTTTTATATATGTCGTAGGCATATTGCAAATTTAGGCTTTTCCTGAAATGTCTAGGCATTTTACAAAAAAGCCGGCAAAACGCAAGCATAAAATGAATTTTTCGTTATGCCGAAAACAATTCAGGCAAATTGATAAAATGCCGGCAAAACAAAAACGGAAGAATATATATCATGTTGTGACTGATTATTTTTAGGCATTTTACAATTTGCCAAAAATGGTGCCGTCAAAACGTGAATAGTCGACTTTTTTCGATCAGGTATTAGGGTAATTATCTATTATCCGTTATCCAATCCGGATTTGTTGATTTTTTGTAGGAAGGTATAATTTTAGTCGCTAATCACAAATCTGAAATCCGTTCTTGTCGCTCGCATTCCATTTCTGCTTTGCGCGCTTTGTTATTAACCAGTACACTTATAACCAGTAATAAACAAACTCGAAACTAACCAAAAGTATGAAAACTAACCCGTCCATGTAATGCGTACTAGTCCTTGCTTGGTATGTTGATATAAAATTTAGAAAAACAAAAACGCGCTTCGCTTTTAACCAGTACAATAACTAGTATTAAACGAACTGTAACGATGATGACCGGGTTATTATCGGTTTGGTATTGTCTGAATAAAATTGCAAACTAACCCAAACTAACCTGGTTTATATCGGTAAGTTTGGCAATTTACTCCGAACTCTTGGAGTAGTCCGACCAGTAAGAGTACTCGGAGTACTCCAAACAGTTAGAGTACTCAAACAGTTGAAGTAACCGGAGTATTCTGAATAGTTGGTGTACTCGGAGTACTCCCAACAGTTGGAGGTACTTCGAATAGCTAGAATACTCCGATTAGTAGAAGTACTCCGAACAGTTAGATTACTCCGATCTTAGCACTACTCCAAACAGTAGGAGTACTCCGGTCAGTTGGTTCACTCCAAACAGTTGAAGTACTCCGAACAGTTCGCGTACTCCGAACAGTTGGGTTGGAGCACTCTGAACAGCGGTTATTGAACTGCCGCGTAGTAGAATGTGATAGATTTTCCTTTCAGCGTGCGGGAAACACACATACGCATTTTTATTTCAGTCCGTTATCATTATCAAACTTACCGATAATAACCCTGTTAGTTTGGGTTAATTGGCAATTTTAATCAGACATTATCAAACTAGTGATAATAACCCGGTTAGTCTGGGTCTCGGTCTGGGTTAGTTTGCAATTTTAATCAGACACATACGAAAAAAAATTAGAGAATGTATTGAGTGCACTCCCCGGTCACCGGGTAAGTTTTTCTTTTAAATAACCGCGCGAAATCGAAGGAGCCAAAGTGCATTTTCATCTGTAGCCACTAGCCACGAATGTCCTTGAATGTTAATATTGAATTATTGTTGTCAAAATAAAAAGATTTACCTACTGTAACTGTATTATTTATATTTAATAGTATTTTCGACTTTATTTTCACGTTTTGACGGCACCGTTTTTGGCAAATTGTAAAATGCCTAAAAATAATCAGATACAACATGATATATATTTTTCTGTTCTTGTTTCGCCGGCATTTTATCAGTTTGCCTGAATTGGTGCCGGCATAACGAAAAATACAATTTATGCTTGCGTTTTGCCGGCTTTTCGTAAAATGCCTAGGCAAGTTATAAAAAGCCCAAATTTGCATTACCTATGCCTACGACATATATATAGATTGTCACGGCTCTAGCTCGCGTGACAGAAATCTTTTATTCCAAAATCAAAGTCCA